TGTTAATTTATTATGCTGATCTGTTCTGTACGACATCTATTGCACGTCTGTCCGTCCTGGAAGAGGGATCCCTCCTCAGTTGCTCTTCCTGAGGTTTCTACCGTTTTTTTTCCCCGTTAAAGGGTTTTTTGGGGAGTTTTTCCTGATCAGCTGTGAGGGTCATAAGGACAGAGGGATGTCGTATGCTGTAAAGCCCTGTGAGGCAAATTGTGATTTGTGATATTGGGCTTTATAAATAAAATTGAATTGAATTGAATTGAATTCTTCCTCCTGCACTGGCTGATGGTGTTGCCTGGGGAGAGGGATCCTCTTGGGGATGCAGATGTTATGGAGGACTGTGCATGCTGCGACCACAGTGCAGACTCTCTCTGGTTGCATGCACATCTCCCCGTGAAGGCAGTGAAACCTCGAAAATATAGCAAACTATTAACCCACATTTCTCACGACATTTGTTCATTTATTTAGTCTATTTTCTTTATCTTTGATTTTTTAAGTTAAAAAGTGGACGAATTAAAGTCCCAAAATGGGCACATAACTTGGTCAGCTCTATGCGCAGTGATCAATCAGCACCATGAACAGTGTCATTTTTTCCTGTCTTTTTTTCTTTCCCAGATGGAAATGAAATGAAGCACAATTTTATTTAGCTTTATCCTGCATTTTCCAAGTGAAGTAGACATATAGCTCCATGTTTACACATTTGCTCAGTTATTTAGCATACATTTGCAGACAGTTTAGACATTAAAAGAATATTTCAGAGTAAAGACAGCATAAAGGTAATTATTGAAGTTTAAATGGAGTTAATTGTTTAACTTAGGTTCAGGAGCAGGACCACGCCTCAACCACTCCCTTAATCACCTGACTAACATATATATACCAGCACAGCGCTACCACAGGCCTCTCAGATCTCTCGAACACTGGCGACCCTACGTAGGTTATCTCAGCAAGTGTGTTTTTTTTGTGCGTACTCACCGATGGATCACGTGTTGCAAGTCAACCTGTCCGAGTCTGACTCCGACGACTTGTACGACTCTCTGCTCGATCCAGGTGATCCTCTGACTCAGTTCCAGCAGTCTGCCGGTCGCTGAAACTCCCAGGGGAGCCGGCTGCGCTCTGTGGTCCACATCCCTCGGTCTCGCTGTGGTTCTCCGCTGGAGACCGTTCAACCGTGGGAGCCAGCGGCAGTCTTCTCCTCCTTCCCGCAGCGGTGCAGCGACCAGTCGACCTCGCCGCTCCCGCGGCGCTCCGCCGCGCTCCACTCGGCCATCTCCACCACGTCCACAACAAGAGCCCAACATCAGGGATTGGACCATCGCCCGGCTCCAGCGGTTCCTGAGGGCAAAAAACATCCCCTTCCACCGCAGCGACAACAAGTCCAGGCTGTTCCAGCTCTATTCAGCCGCTGCCCGGGCTCCCGAGACCACAGCTCACTTTCTCAAGCCGGCTGCACTTCCGGGTCGCCCTCCGAGGCCTACTCCCGCCAGCGTCACCGTCGGTGACATCACGGCGCCTCCGCCACTCCAGCCGGAGCAGCCCAGGAGCCCCGTCCTGCAGCACAACAGGCTCCTCCGGCGGGTGTTTCACTGCCTTCCACTCTCTTTCCGACGTGTCTCTCCTTACCCCTCCCGTACCCCCCCCCCCACCCCCTCCCTTCCCCAACACCCTAATGTTTTTTCCTCTGCTGCCGTCTACACTCTAGCCACAGCCACACCACCAGCTCTGCCAGCCTTTACCATTCACCGCCCCTCACCCGTCTCGCACTCACTGCGCCAGCAAATACTGTCCGGTAATTATGAAGACCTAGCCCAGCTCATTCAGCCATCTTTTTTTGACAGTTGTCAACCCAGGGAACTGCAGACCGTCCTCGGTCCAATTCCGCTAAAGCAGTCATTGCCTGCCAGGTCTAAACACTTAACTCCTGTCGAGTTTGCTCTAGCTTCTCCCTCTTTCGTTACGTCATCTGCTCTGCTTTTCCTCACCGTCGATCAGAGCTGGATGACTATCTGTCCATCGTGTTGGACATGGCTTTGCGTTTCGGGGGGGCGGGATTTTATAGTTACCATGTCCAATTTGCCGCACAAGCAGCCGGCCGGTTGCAGCAGCTAAATCAGGGGACGTACTGGGGGGTCCTCAATTCAGAAATATACCGCCGAATTTTCGCAGCTCGTTCCTCCCTCTCCTGCGACTTATGCGGCGCCCCTTCTCATCCGGCCTCTGCATGCACTATCATGGCTCCTCCACCGCACTCCCGCCCCACCACTCCACGGACACGGCTCCCTCTGTAGGTTTCGGCGGGTATTATGGAGGGAGTTGGTTTGCTGCTGCTTGGCCCTCCGAGCTCGAGTCCCTCGACTAGGGTTGTCACGATACAAATTTCAAACTCATTACGGATACCCAGGAAAATATTCAATACTCGATACCATTTTCAATACAGCAGCAAAACTTAAGAGGCATGTCATTTTCTAAATAAAGATCAGAACAGTAACATCAATGATACCAACAAAAATCCCCCCAAAATAAATAACAACCAGAAACAAGATCTGTCCATACAAATGTATTTATCTACAGCCCTGTTTATTTTCTGTGCTTCTGGTGAATTGGCACCATATTTTTGTTGCTGATCAAATAGAGTTGGTAGTTTAGGCTCAGGATGCTCCTGTTTCTACCTCACTATGTGATCAGAGAACCAGGGGTTACGGGAGAAACCAAACGTTTTTTCAGCTTCAATCTGTGACTTTACAGTTAACGTAACTTTTCAGACACACATAATTGTGTTGTCCTGTTAAACTAACATTGTCTATTAATGTTACAGACGGGCATGACTGATAAAGTTTTCTGCTTAGCTCCAACATTAACGTTAGAAATTATATTTTAGTTTGATGCTGGCGACACCAGCTGCTCAGCTGCTAGTGAGGGGAGGGGCTGTACTTTTCGTCTGGGAATATTAAATATTTCCAAAGAGCGCTTTTTCCTTTATCATTTTTGACCCAAACTGGCTGCTCTGATCCTCCCGCAGCTGCGCTGGCCATATTACAGCAACAGAAATGTGTGCATGCATGCACAGCGACGACAACAAGCTGGGTTTGCAGCCAGGGCTCTGTGCCTGCCAGACGCTGCCCGCACAGCGCGTGTCCGTCGGACCCGTCGCCCGCACCCGACAGGCGCTGAGGTGGCGTGCACTGTTAGTATCGATACTTTTGTAAATTAGTATTGTATCCGGATACAGCGTTTGAGTATCGATACTTATCAGAGCATCGATACTTTTGACAACCCTACCCTCGACGCAGAGTCACGCTCTCCCTCGTCTGCTCCGTACGAGCCGTAGGCTATTCCGTGATCATCGCCACTCTAATCTGGGGGCACGAATGGTCTAAAAAAGGCATCAATATTCACTCTGACAACACAGCATTAGTAGATATCATCAGTCAAGGCCGTTCCCGTTCCCCAGCCATCATGCCATTCACCCGCAGACTCACTCTCATCTCCGCTCAGTATCAATTCATCCTCCGTGCATCTCACATTCCCGGTCACCACAATGCCATCGCTGACTCACTCTCCCGCTTCTCTTTCCAGAAATCCGGACACTGGGCTCCAGACTCGGATGTCCATCCCACACCGATCCCACCGTTTTCAGCAACCATATTCAACCAAATCCTCATCTGGCAAATCTCACTCACATCTCCCAAGAAACCATCCTTAACAGTTTAGCACCAAGCACGCTATCTGCCTACCTCACCGGCTGGAACTCTTTCAAGAATTACCACGCCACTTATCTTCTACTGTTTCCCTCTCTGGATGCCATGTTCATATGCAACTTCATCACACACTGTCATACCGTAACAAAGATCCGGGCCTCCAGCATACAAACATATCTAGCTGGTATCAACTTATTTCATAAATTATCCACCGGCCTCCCTTGTCAATCAATCTCGCACGCTCACGTCACCATGCTAATCAAAGGCTTACGAAAGCACGAACCAGCGCTGACAGCCAGACGCCTCCCTCTCACCTCCGATCTGCTCAGCTGCTGCATACGCACTCTGCGCTCCGGTTACATCTCTCCCACAGTCGACTTAACACTGGAATCAATGTTTCTACTCGCTTTCTTCGGATTCCTGAGGTGCTCTGAATTCGCTCCAACATCATCTGTCTACGATCCTTCCCGTCATCCCAGTCTATCCGACATCACCACCCACACT